TCTTAGCAAATGTTTAACCACTTTCAGTTTCGCGTTCACCGAAGGGATGTTCTTGTGAACTTGAGGAGTGTGAGCCTACAAATAAAGGGAAATAGTGTTAGAGATCAACTTCAAAAGCACAGGTGGTCCCATGCTTCAGTAAAATGAATGAAGGCTCATTCTATCTAAATCAAACTTCCAAATACATTCCACTAAATAATACATTTAAACAAAAAATATTAAGTATATTCCTTAAAGTTTAAAAAGTGCCAAATTTAAACCGTGCTAAAGATGACTAAAATCCTTGCATACCTTTTCTATTCCAAGCATCTTTACTACATCTTTTTCCCAATACGGACGGCCTTTTGTACTTTTTATTCTGGTAACAATATGCAGTTTATGAGGGTGCTGTGGATCCCCACCATATTTTTCATGATCTTCTGGTGAAGGCTGAAACACTTTATCTGGAATTCTTGACTTGGTAAATTTATGACGAATCCAATCTGTACAAACGAGAGACTCCACACCTTTTGTCACCGTGTGTAGTCTGCCTGGGGGCCTCTGAACCACCGAGCGCAAAATCCCAGCCATGAGTGCGGTGGCCGTCCTCTGCAGAGGCTACGGGCGCTAAAGGCTGCGAAGCCCCAACTTGCCCGCCGACCAAACACTTTTTCTTTTAGCAATTTGTTACTTTCTGGGACTACAAGATGCTCCAGCTCATCTTGTAGTTTTCCCATTTCAGCCCTAACATTAGCTGCTTCTTCATTGTTTCCTTGGAGAACAATATTACCTACGCCTTGAGTGTTGCTGCTGGGATGTCATCGCTCCTAGGCCTTCTCAGCAGACAGAGCTGGGTTATATTTTAACCCAACCTCCACGTGTAGTCTAGCAGGTAACCTCACACAGATTAACCTTCGTGCGTTTACAACTTCACTTGGATTAACCAGTAGCCCCACTTAGATCACTCTAGCTAGCATTTGTAAGGTCTATAACTATATAATGCTACCTTGTAACTTACTGAACAGTTTCACAGAAAGACTTACAGACAGAAAGACCTGGTCCACCGGCACTAGCTGAGCCAACACTAAATACGGAGAACTGTAGTAGAGCCCTGTGGCTCAGTTGGTTGAGCATTGCTCAGTGCACCTAAAGGTCACTGGTTCAATTCCCCGTCAGGGCACATAACCCAGGTTGCAGATTTGATCCTCAATCGTGGTGGGTACTAGAGGCAACTGGCTATTATTTTTCACCCAGAAGTGTGATTTTCTGATCTTAGGTAACCTCAGTTCACTAGCTGAGTTACATCCCTATTCTGTCTACTTTCAGCCAGGCTGCTAACTACTGACTGTGACGCCACCTTGCAAACAAAAATGCAGCCTTGTCTCCCTCCAATTACCCTGTCTGAGCCCCAGGACCAAGCTCTCTACTAGTCAAGACTCTACTAGTTATATTTGAAAGATGTCTTCTCAAAGGACGTAAAAATAAAAAAATTTTAAAAAAAAGACTGTAAGAGTAGGGAATCATTGGCAGGAATACAATCCAATTTAAATAATATGAACTAAAACCGGGGTTTTAATCCTAATCAAGCTGCTGTCTCCCGAGTTTACTCCCCCAGTCACCTTCACTGAGGCCTCTCCCTGCAGAATGGTTTTCTCTGTTTTTCAGGCAACAGGAAGGCAAATGTGGCTGCCAAGAGCTTCTGCGCTTACATATTATTGTCTATGTGACTGGAGAGAAAATAGGTCTTTTTCAACTCCCAATTGGTCAGATGAACCAATGGAGGGTAGCAACACAGCCTGGCTCACTCCTTCCAATGTGGCCAGGGAACTCTGATACGAAACCACAGAGGATGGGGTGGACAGTTTCCAGATAAAGGGTGAGGATATACTTGTCAACAAATAAAACTGTGCACCAGCACATTTAGATGACTTAGCTCAAATAAGTTCCTAGAACGACATAAACTATCAAAAATAACTCAAGAAAAAATAGAAAATCTAAATAAACCTATAACGAGTAAAGAGATTGAATTCGTAATTTTAAAACTTTCCACAAAGAAAACTCCAGTCCCCCATGGCTTTGATCATGAATTCTTCCAAGTATTTAAGGAAGAAAGTGCCAAGACTTTACAAACTCTTCCAAAAAAAGGAAAACTAGATGAGAAGGAAACTCTTTCCAATTCATCCTAAATGGCCTCATTCCAAAGCTAAGACATTATAAGAAAATTAAAGTCCAATATCATTTACAAATATAGACACAAAAAATCCAGAAAATATTAGCAAACCAAATCCGGCAACACATAAAGGATTAATCACCATGACCAAGTAGGATTTATCCCAGGAATCAAAGCTTGGTTTAACAGCCAAAAAATCAATTAATCTAATACGCCATATCAATAGAATAAAGGGTAATCCACATGAAAATCTCAGTTGACCTAGAAAAAGCATTTGACAAACTCTAACACTTTGTCATGATAAAAACACTCAGAAACTAGTAATAAAATGGAACTTCCTCTGCCTGATGAAAGGTATCTACCAAAAAACACAAAACCAACATCATACTTAAAGGTAAAAGACTGCATGCTCTCCCCGCAAAAAATCAAGAACAAGACAATGATGTCTATTCTCATCACATCTATTCAGATTATATAGGCAATTATATCCAGTCAAGGCAATTAGGCAAGAAACATAAATAAAAGGCATCCAGATGGGAAAGGAGCAATAAAACTATCTGTATTTTGACATGATTTCATATAGAGGAAATTCTGTGGAATTCACTAAAAACCCATTAGAACTATTAAGCAAGTTCAGAAAGGTGGTAAGCCCCAAAAGCAATATTCAAACATCAATTGTACTTCTATACACCAGCAATGAACAATCTGAAAATCTGACAAAATAATTCCATTTATAATAGTATCCAAAAAATGAAATTACTTAGGAATAACATTTTTAAAGATGTGCAAACTTTGAAAATTACAAAACATTGTTGGAAGAACCCCTTCACGTGCATGATAATTCTCAGATTTCCTTTTTTCTGAGTGGAGATGCCAAACAATTGTAACTGCTCTCCTTGACTACATAATCAGAACCACGTTTATGAGAGCACTTCTCTCTCAACATCTACCCTCTTGTCTTTGTGCTTTTGACAACGTACTTCCCACACACAACTAAAAATGCAAAAACTTTCAATGAAGAGTTTTATATTAAGGATCCAGGTTATTTAACATACAGTGTAACTAAAGCAGGTCAATTGTGTGAGCAGAGAGGAATATAGGTTAATGAGTCAACACTTTCCTAGTTCATCTGAGGCCTAGTTGTCTTTTTAGATGATTCATGTTTCATTCACATTTATTCAGAAACTAGAGGCCCAGTGGACAAAATTTGTGCACAGGTAGGGTCCCTAGGCCTGGCCAGCGATCAGGGCCTATTGGGGCCGTCTCAACGGGTCCCAATCGGGGCCAGTCCAGCTGGGGCCTGCCGGCTGCCAGACAGGCCTGCTGGACGGGGCCTGCCAGACATGGGGAGGGACCATGGGAGGTTGGCTGTGGGAGCACACTGACCACCAGGTGGCAGCTCCTGCATTGAGAACCTGCCCCGTGGTGGTCAGTGTGCATCATAGTGACTGGTTGATCGGTCATTCCGGTCATTCTGGTTGTTCGGTCTTAAAGGTCGATTAGGTTTTATATATATATATAGATTGTTGCTTTGCTTCCCATCTCATTCCCAACATAAAGGCCATACTCATGAGTTTTTGAAGTTTTCTATGAGGTTAAAATATAAGTTTGGTTTTCATGTCATATGATAAAAGCCAGAGTTAAATCAAGGAACAAAACTAGTAAGAATGTATAAAATAAAGTGAGTATTTAAAGTGAAAAAATGTTCATGGTGTGGCTCAGTGGTTGAGCATCAACCTATGAACCAGGAGGTCAGGGTTTGATTCCCGATCAGGGCACATACCAGGTTGCAGGCTCAATCCCCAGGTAGGGATGTACAGGAGGCAGCCGATCAATGATTCTCTCTCATCGTTGATGTTTCTCTTTCTCTCTCTCCCTTCCTTCCTTTCTGAAATCAATAAAAATGTGTTGTTTTTTTTTAAAGATATCAAGCCTGTCTTAAGAATAATGGACCACGTGCAAACAACTGAGTGTGGAGTTTGGCTCTTTCCCAATAGTTGCTGGATCTTTGTTTGTTCAAGAACAAAATCAATGGCATGTTGTGGGGCATATTTTCACACCATATGCAAATGATTGTAACAGAATATGAAGAATGACTTTCCAAGGCTGAATGAAGCCAGACTGGAATCCTTCTCTGTGGAACATATGTGTGCTCTGCTGGCTGTGTTAGCATCTGAATGTATTCACCAATGAGCTGTCCATCATTTCTGTACAATCCAATACCAGCTGCCAGAGCCTCCTGCACTTGCTGTCATCCTAATGACTTAGCATTGTGAGCCTGTGTTCCCTAAATTCATAGGAGTCAGGTCTCAGGAAATACACCAGCAAGGTGTTAACCTGTAACTTACGCTCTTTCAAACACTTCATATAGATGCCTGGTGAAAGATATCAACAATACATCCTTCCCATCAATAATAAACCATTATCATTTTTATCATCAATTTTAAAGATCCAGCTTTACTCTTACTGTTTTAAAAATTATGACAAATGTATTTTATAACCAAGTGAAATTTTGGTTCGCATGTTTCCTGAAGACCCATAGGACCTATGGGGTGGGAGAGAGTTGAGAAATATGACATAGGGGCTGGCCAACTATATTCACAAGGAACAGTCCATGACATGGACCGACTAAAATGCATTGGAAGTCACATTTTACCAACCCACAGAATTAAAGCAAGTTCATGAACAGAGTTTTCCCAAAATTATGTTTTTCTCCTGCTCATTTTCTTATCTTTTTGTGGTTGTTGTTATCATTAATCCTCACCTGAGGATATTTTTTCATTGATCTTTTAGGGAGAGTGGGAAAGAGAGAAAAATACAGAGAAAAACATCAATCTGAGAGAAACACATTGATTGGTTGCCTCCTGCACGCATCTGCCCAACCAGGGCCCAGGCCAGGGAGGAGCCTGCAACCAAGGTACGTGCCCTTGACAGGAATAGAACCCAGGATCCTTTGGTCCACAGCTTGGCGCTCTATCCACTGAGCCAAATCAGCTAGGGCCATTTTCTTACATTTTTTGATGCATGCTTTTGTAAATGAGCATTACCCATACCATAAATGATTAAAATAATAAACTGACAAGAAAAAAATTCCTAAATATTTTAATTACATATTTTTCTAATATGCATAAAACATTTTTTTCTACTGGTAAAATGATTCCTAGTTGACAGGACAGAAATAAATATCAAAATATTTTAGTGTAGTCCAGCCAGCATTACTCAGTGGTTGAGCACTGACCTATGAACAGGAGGTAAGTTTTATTCCCCGCCCCAGGTTGCGGGCTCCATTCCCAGTGGAGAGCATATAAGAGGCAGCCAACCAATGACTCTCTCTCATCATTGATGTTTCTATCTCTCTCTTCTTCTCCCTTCCTCTTTGAAATCAATAAAAACATATTTTAAAAAATATTTTAATGTATGATGTAAAAAGTGCCATGTGTACTAGTTACACTTAAAAAAATATTTCAGAAATTATCTTATATAAT